TAGAGAGAGAGAGAGAGAGAGAGAGAGAGAGAGTATGCTTTAATGTGTGTGAGTGCATTCGGGCCAATGTGTTAGTCAATGTATGAGCTTACATGGTCGTTGTTAAGCACAAGAGGGCTATCCCGAAAAAAACCTGTTTTTAGAAAATCGAAGGGACAGTTTTTGGGACCCTTGTTCAGTTTCTTTAAAAGACAAGGAGATTTTTCTTTACAACCAAACAAATATACAGGTAGGCAATGCCCATTAAACATTTCTGTTGTAGGTCAAGATTGCGGGAAACCCCCGAAATCTGGGTTAGCCCGCTTGTCCTTAAAAGCGACCATTTGAAGTTATGTGAGTTTGTTTTGTTCCGATTGGTAAGAGTTATACAACACTTGGAACTCTGCATAAAGTGACAATAAGGTAATATTATGAGAGCACATTTGTGAGTTAATTCCTTAGTGCGAGAGAATGTGTGGTAGGTCATAATGTGTTATAAATGTGTTTGTATCGATCAGTCCCTGTCCATATCATGAATATGCGGTGTTCTTAAAAAAGCTACGTTTGCCTGATCTTTCCCCGTTACCCATTTGTTTAGGTTCCCTAGGTAGGTTGCTCTGGGCCTACCCCTGCCTCGTTTGCCTTCAATTTTACCAGAGAGAGCAAGACGTTCAAGACCTTTATGTCTGTTCAGGTGTCCCCAAAACTGCGTTTGTCTTTTTCTGATTGTTTTTAACAGTGAGCGTCCCACGTGGGTCTCATCAAGCACAACCTCATGGAAAGAAAAAAAAAATTAATCTGTAATCATTAAAAAACCTGCGTCTATTGTTTAATGGCCAGGGTGTACTCTTTTGTTGACAGGAGACGTGACTCCAATTCCTGAATGGTCGCTTTAAAGGACAAACGAGCTAACCCAGATTTCAGGGGTTTCCAGAAATCTTGACCTACACCAAAAGTGGGCATTGACTTACCTATAGGGGAAGTTGTTTATATTTGTTTGGTTGCAGAGAAAACTCTCCTTGGCGCTCATATGACCTTATGCAGTTGCGAGCGCCGTAAAACCTCTACTTAAACAAACAAACTAAAAGAAAACTCTCTTTGTCTTTTAAAGACAAAGGGGCAAAACTTTACCTTCGATTTTCTCAAAACAGCATTTTTCGAGATAGCCCCTTGTGCTTAAAAGCTACCAAATAACAGCAACAATTACAAATAACAGCAACAATTACAAATAACAACAACAATTACAAATAACAGCAACAATAATGACAAAGACGAGCGTGGAAAGCAAACAGAGTCAAATCATCATCACCGGCGATATCCCCAAATAAACTTCGCTTTAATTACAAAAAGAAACCCCTGGAACAGTTCCCTGGAGAGACATTCATGGCTGCCCGCTGTGGGTTCAGCGCAGACGGAGCCCAGTTGTACCTAACCCCCAGAGCTCCTCCTCCAAATTTGATTTTGATCCCGGTCCATTTGGGGAAGGTTTCTTCTTTCTTCTGTCTGTGGGTTCATCAGGTCACTTTTGTGATTTTCCAGGCGCAGCGCTGTGGACTTTTATGAGCTTCGTTTATTTCTGTAAGAGTGCAACGGAAAAGGGGAAGACGAGGAAGAGGGAGGGGGGGGGAAGAAGAGGGACGGAG